AATGTGGGTCTCGCCTCAGCGCTGCGTACATTCGTCTTGTAGGTGCGCAGCCGTTTCGAGGATTCATACGGTCGAGGTCCCAGTAACTACGTTCTTGCACGATGTAGGGTTGTCAGGACGCAACAATACTGTTGATTCGCTGTGTTGAGATCCTAGAAGAAGGCGTTCTGGCATGATCTAGGATTGTCAAGACGCAGCAGCCACTTTGCTACTCGGTGTTGTATCCCAAGGCCTTTGTTCAGACGGTTGTCCTCTGATGAGCCACTTCCCGCAACGAAGAAAATGCTGGGACATACGAAAAGGAAACTTGGAAGGAAGGTTTCTTGCAACATCGTTGATGCAATTTGGGTTTACTTTGGTCCTCCTTTTCTTACTCCTCCTCCTCCTCCTCCTCCTCAATCACCGTCCTCGTCATCATCCTCATCATGGCTGTCCCAAGCCTGGATTCACACGTGACGACCCCCCGCGACCCCTCGAACAATCGCCACCCCGAGCGGCAGGCGCGGCGAAGGGAATTCCAGCAGACGACTAGATATACATGGGAATGGTGGGTCTTGATACCGGAAGATATCTGTTTCGCGAGATCGGCCGAGAAGTTGTAAGATCGAAATTTCGGGAGATCGGTCGATACATTGACGGTGGAATCGGCACATCGACAATGGGACCGAAAACGTCTAGATCGGTTTCCCATGGTTGTCCCGTGGCTACCCCGCGGCTGTTCTGTAGTTGTTCCGTACTTGTCCCGCGTTTGCTCCGTAGTTGTCTGGGGATTGTCCCGCGGTTGTCCCGCGGTTGGCCTGCGATTCCCCGGTGGTTGTCTCGTGGTTGTTCGCGGCTGCCACACGGGAGCCCAATGGTGGCCCAGTGGTTGACCCATTGCGGCCCGCGGCTGCGTGTAATTGTCCCGCGGTTGTCCTGCGGCTGTCCCGTTATGTATATATATATATGTATATATACATGTATGTATACATATATGCATGCGCAGGCTGTGTCTATTCATGGATATCGAAAGGGAAATACATGGCGGGGGAGGCCAACGGATGCAAGCCATATGGGGCCCCAAACAATGGGTTCGACCGTACGATGTGATGAACTCTATGTGGTGCAATGTTTGCGGTGTGAGCTACGTGGTGCGAACAATGTTCAGTAACCTGTGTGTTGTAAGCTCTGCGGTGCCATCTATGTGGTGCATTTCGCTTTGCCGAACTCGAAGTTGTCAACTTCACTGCTCGCGCAATCATCTCACCCACCCACCCGCAACTTGGTTTGCAAAACCCATGCGGGAACGATTGCGATGAGTGCTGGGTGTTGGCTGGTGCATCTTTGCGGCCGCGCTAGCCCGCGCATGCTCGCGCGCGCAGCGGCCACCTAGTTTGGCGCGACCGCGAACGCGGTGGCGCTGCTCGCTCGGCACACCCCAGCGGGCACTTCAGTGCGAGTCGGCGACTTGGGCGGGCGCGGTATCATGGCAACGTCGACGACGGTAGACACGATGATGATAATACAAATACTTGCGGCGATGCTGACAGCGACGACGGGGCAGCCAGTGACGGCGCCGATGCTGATCACGCCCACGACGATGACGGCGTCATCGCGTCGGTGATGAAGGTTTTGAAAAAGGAATTCGACATGCGCTCGCGGCAGACACGCGAAAATGCCCCGCATAGTATTATTTAACACGGATCGTGCCACCCCAGCACGCGCGCAAAGGGTGTTCGAACGATTTCGACATGCGCGCGCGAAGCCCGTTTGGTAGCATTGTATGAAAATAAGTGTTCAAAGAGTTCGCAAGGGCGCGCGCACGCTTTTGTTCAAAATCCGTGTTGCGAACCCCTGTGTGTGTTTTTTTGGTGTTGGAGAAAATGTTGTTTGGACACTCGGTTTTGAAATCCTTCCGAAACTGGAAGTGCTCGAACAAAAAATCGGCATGCACGCGCGATGACACGCGTGTGTGCGCTTCGTCACATGTTTGTAAATGGTTCTTGAAACTTATGATTCCTGATAAACGAATGCGCGCGCGTAGTACTTTTTGTAGGGGAACCAAGGGGGGACCGATACCGGCCTGGCTGGGATAGTATGAACTCACGGGTAGGATGGGCACTGGGTCAGAACCATCTGTGTTTTGCATTGGTTCCTGGGAATGGATAAGCCCAGGGGGGGGGCGGGTGGTAGAACAGACCTCAATTCTAAAAAGTAGCATGTACTCGGCGCAAGCTATGTGGTGCGAGCTACGTATTGTAATTGGTTGTTTTTACAAATGAATTGACACATTCGTCAGCGTTGCAAACATCCCACCCACCCACGGCGGCGGCAATTGCGATAAGTGCTTCGCGTTGGCTGGTGCATCTCTGCGGCCGCGCTCACCCGCGCACGATCGCGCGCACAACGGCCAGCTAGTTTGGGGCCACCGACGCGGCCGCGGTGGCGCTGACCGCTGGGCAGTTCCCAGCGGGCACTTCAGCGAGAGGCGGCGACTTGGGCGGGCGCGGTATCATGGCCCATGGCGACGCCGACAACGGCAGACACGATTATGAATGCAGCGATGATGTTGACGATGGTGGCAATGTACCGCACGAGAGAGAAAGAGAGAGAGAAAGAGAGAAAGAAAGAAAGAAAGGACGCTATACACGACCGACAAACAGTTAGCACTGGAAGGCTGCAATAACACCGAATGAGCAACGAAGGCGCTTGACTAAATCATCGTGTGGGGTGCGATCAGATCAACGCAAATAATAATATGTACATAGATCTGATTGAAAATGTCTCCTGTCTTCCTCCTAAGATGGCCCTCCACAGTAGAAATCTGTTCGCAAGGCCGCCATGAACAGCATCCTTTCGCAAGGCCGCCACATAAGGAATCCTGTGGTAAGGCAATCACGACGAAAGGAATCACCTTCTAACGCCGCCACAGACATCTTCATATTCGAGAGAGCGTGATCCACCGACTATGGAAAATTCCCCCCTCTTCCTCCGGAACCCGGGGGTCCCCCCCTTCCTCCGAAAATCCCCCCACCGCCCCTGCTGGACCCCCCCCCCCGCCTTCCCCCCGGCCCCCCCCCCTCCTAACCCCCCCACCCACTCGGGAAAACCGGGGGGGGTCACTACCAGTTCGAACCCCCCCCCTTCGAAAACCGAGGGGGGTCACTACCGGTTCGAGCCCCCCCCCCTTCTCCAGAAAACCAGGGGGGGTCCCTACCGGCTCGACCACCCCCCCTCGAAAACCGGGGGGTCGGGTCTTTTCGCCCGTTCGAACCCTCTTCCCCCCCCTCCCCCGCCCTCACCGCCAGCAAACGACACCCGGGTCCCCACCACCGTCCGCACCACATCCCCCACTGCTGTCCCCAGCACCACTGTCCTCACCACCACTGTCCCCACTGTTCCCACCACCGTCCCCACTGTCCCCACCAGTGCCCCCACCACTGTCGCACTGTCCCCACTCTCCCCACCACTGTTCCCACGACGGTCCCACTCTCCCCACTTTCCCCACCGTCCCAGCCACTGTCCCCCTGTCGCCGCTGTCCCCACTGTCCCGTTGTCCCTTGTCCCCGCCGCTGTCCCACTGAGCTGTCCCACTGTTCCCACCACTGTCCCCACTGTCCCCACCACTGTCCCCACTATGCCTCTGTCCCATTGTCCCACCACCGTCCTCGCCACCGCCCTCACCACTGTCCCCACCACCCCACCACTGTCCCACTGTCCCCACCACATTCCCACTGTCCCCACACCACTGTCCCCACCACCTGTCCCACAGTCCCCACCACTGTCCCACTGTCCCCACTGTTCCCACCATTGTCCCCGCTGTCCCCACCAGTGCCCCCACTTTTGTCTCACTGTCCCCACTCTCCCCACAAATTGTCCCACCACGGTCCCACTCTCCCCCACTTTCCCCACGGTTCCCACCACAGTCCCACTGTCCCCAATGTTCCCATGACTGTCCCACTGTCCCCGCCGCTGTCCCACTGTGCTGTCCCTCTGTCCCCACTGTCCCCACCACTGTCCCACTGTCCCCACTGAATTACTGTCCCACCACCGTCCTCACCACCGCCTTCACCACTGTCCCCACCACTACCGTCCCCACCAATGCCCCACTGTCCTCACCACTGTCCCGCTGTCCCCTCCCCACCGTACCCACCACCACCGTCCCCACTGTCCGCACCACTGTCCCACTGTCCCCGCACCACTGTCCCCACCACCACCGTTCCCACCACTGTCCCAGTATCCCCACCACACCACTGTCCCACTGTCCCGAGGAGCGGGAATCGTTTGCCAGCGGCGAGGGGGGTGGAAGGGAAGGGGGGGGTTCGAACCCGTAGTGACCCCCCCCCGGTTTTCGAGGGGGGGTTCGAACCAGTAATGACCCCACCCCCTTTTCATGATGGACTGGGGGGGAAGGGGTTCGAACCGGTAGTGACCCCCCCTTGGTTTTCGAGAGGGGGGGCGGGTTGGGAACCCCCAGTGACTCCCCCTCGGTTTTCTGCCAGCAGCGGTAGAACACGATCTTTCTCATATTCCTGTTGCAATGCTTCCGCAACAGGAATCCTTGTGTAAGGCCACCTCAAAAGGAATTCATTCGGAAGGCCGCCACTTAAGAAATCGATGTGGAAGGTACCAGCAGGATGTATATGTCTGGAGGGCCACCGCCCAATGAATCAGGAAAAGGAGCAGCAAGGAGGAGTGGTAGCTGCAGGAAGCAGGTAGAGGAGGAGAGAAGGTGAAGAGGATAAGGAGAAGGACCAAAACGTACAGAAGGGAGAAAGTAGAAGGGAGAAGGAGTGGTACACGAGCAATGCTTCATGCACCTACGGGGGAGCCCTCTATGGGGTTCATGCAGGATTCCCTGTGGGGCCCCTGTGGGCACGGAGGCTCAAAGGCGGGGTCCCTGTGAGGTCTCTGCGGCGAATGGGGACTCCGTAGACATTGCACCCTGCACGAACACCGTTGAGGGGGACCCCGTAGGGAAGGAGGGTGGGGTCCCGTAGGGACACGGGTCTTCCACTCGCCTTCTGGGCACAAATGGCAGCGGTTGCACTGGCGCCCGTTCTGGCAGCCGCCCAGCTTCCAGAACCAGCCGCACGGTTGGCAGGCCCCGGACGCGTGCAGGGCGGACCCTTCACTGGGCAGATCGAGGCATGATGCTCGGAGGAAGGCCAGTCGAGACAACGGCGACTATTCAGCCCGACCCGCATCGGCTCACAATCCATCCCCGGACCGGACCCTTGCCAGGGTACACCCTGACCCGTGTTTCGACGTGGATCCAGCCACGACGAGAAGCGTCAGGAAGACCAGAAATGATCGAACAAACGCCCGGGATGGCCGCCGTTGTCTCGACTGGCCCTCCTCCGAGAAGCTACGACCGCGTCGGCGCCGTGGTCCTCCTCCGACTCTTCCTCGAGCTCCGAGCGCACCGCAGCGGCAGCCGCGACCGCGGCGGCCACGGCAGCCTGCGAGGAGCGCTCGGCGGGTATGCTGCGGCGCAGGACGGCGTCGGGGAGCATCGGAGGTGCCGAGGGCTGGCGGTCTGGCGAGCCTCCCTGCGGCCGTGCGCCGAAGTGGGAACCGAAGCCCAACTCGCTCTGGTCTTGTGGGGCCTCGGACTGCTTCGGCGTGGTGAGCCCGAGCTGGAGGATGGTGTCGCGGGCGTCGCTCCAGGCCCGGCACCCCAGATCCGACGGCATGGTCGGCTGTTGGCGGCGAGCAAAGGAGGGCCAGGGTTAGTCATGAGGGGGACACTTACAGACACACATAAACGACGATTCCCAGGAAAACGTGGGAAATATGTGAAGTGGAAGGGAAAACGAACATCCAGAACACATACACAAATATAGCTGGAATGTGTGTCTACTTAGATATTTGCGTGTCCATGGGCCACTTGTGTTAGGGCAGACGGGCAGCCCTCTGAAAGGGCAGGGGGCTTAGCTTATTGGCCGTGGGTGCCACATTACAACTTATACGGGACCACTGGAAAGCGGCCCGCTAATCCTGTACGCCTTTGCTCGTGGCTGAAGCTGGCTGAGCGCCCGGACTGGCTCTGCGGACCTGGAAAGAAAAGAGAGCCGAAAGCTCTTCCGGCACGACTTATGCGACGCCGCTTGAGCCCAGCGCTCTTGAGCCAGCGGCTGTACACAGGAGGCGGAACAGGAGCAGCAGAAGAAAGAACAAGCATGCTGCAAAAGAGGGGGGTCTGAGGAAGACGTCGAGGAAGAAGATGATGACGAGGAGCGGAGGAAGTGGCGCCACACATGACAATCAACCAGCACAGGGACAACAATAACACATTAAAAGAACAGCAACTGCAACAAGTCCACGAACCACGTTGCTGGATACTGGGGCCTGGCCATATCACGCAGCCCAGTCCTACAAGCCTTACCCAACATGGCAACAAAAAAACGCATGGGCGTTCCCATCCCCCTGGATAATCCAGGAAACCTCCTTGGATGGCCTCCCGTGGTTCTCTAGGCCTTCCTGGCTGGAATCCCGACGTGCTCTGGGCCCTCCTGGCCGTCCTCGCTGGGAGGCCCACGCAAACAGAAACGACCCAAGACGTCCTCAGGAGGTGGTGGCAGTGTTAGCGGGGAGCGGCCATGATGGCCCAAGAGCGGCCCGAAGACGGCCAAATGGAGCTACACATACAGGCACGGCGCATTGTCCCTATATGTTAAGTATTGGATTAGTGTCCTTCGAATCACGCCTCCGCCTCCTCACGTCACCCCCGCTTTCTCCTTCTCAGGCTCGCCGTGCTCAGACATCATCACACTCATACTCGCACTCAGACTCCGACTCCCCCATACGTTAGACTCACTGGCGTTCAGACCCACTCACACTAAGACCCACGCATTCGAAGACTCACTCTGATCCAGAGCAGTCACGCACATAACATGCATACACACCATTCACATTCAAAGTATTCACGCTCAGGCTCGCTGATACCCATACTTACTCATTATCAGACGCACCCACACTCAGTCACTCATACTCAGGTCCACTTAGACTCAGCAGGCATTGCATTCGGACCACCCAAAGGGTGCCGCCATGGGGTATGACACGGGCCTTTTCGCGTCCAGATTGTGGGGATGGCTCGCGCGAAACGCACCTTCGCAACTGTGGACGCATAGCGGTATTTAGAACACCCTAGAGGAGCCGCCAGGGAGCATGACACGGGCCCGTTCTCGTTCAGATAGTGGGGATGCCTCGCGCGAAACGCCCGTTGCTTCACCTTCCAGAGCCCAATGATCACGACGATGTAGCGGGCGGATTTGGACCGACCCAGGGGAAACCGCCAGGGGGTATGGCACGGGCCCGTTCGCGTCCAGATCGCGGGGACGTCTTGAGCGGGATGCCCTTTCGCGGCTGTGGACGCGTCCCGTCTCGGAACACCATGATCACCGCGATGCAGCAAACATGCATTTTTGAACAACCAAGGAGGAGCAGCCAGGGAGCCCTGTCAAGACCAGGACTGCGAGAAACAGGTTTGCTGTATGCGATGGGGCCGCTCCACGTTACATCCCACCACGGGTTCGACTCGTTCTCGCTGTTTGGCCAATCGTGCAGGTGAGGGCTGAACCAATCAAGGGCGCCTGCCCATACATTGTCCCGCTCAATATACCGCGAGCAATGCTTCCGAAGTCTCCGGAGCAGCATTGTTCGCAAGGCTTATGTGGCACAGCAGGCGCCGCCGCCTGAATACGACATCTGTTGCCGATGAGTCGGCCAAGTCTATGTCAGTGACAGTATCGGGTATCCTTGAGGCGCGGGCAGTTGCGGATGCGCGGAGGAGATGGAGGGTACGGATAACGAAGTGGATGGGGGATGTTGCGGACACGCCCCCCTTGCAATGAGGGAAGGTGGTCCATCGGAAAACGAGTGCTGGTGGACACCTGGGGCTTTCCCGAGCACCAGCCTCCCATCCCGAGCAGTTTGCCCAGGGAGGGCCCCCAGGTCGCCGAAAGCAGCGAGAAGCCTCAGGACGCAGCGAGTTGAGCGCGCAGGTGCAACTCTCACAAGTCCCTCACGAACCCCTGCTTGGAGGAGGACGAGTTCAGACAACGGGAGCTCAGAACCAGTGCCTGGACCTCCCGGGGTCCAATCGTACCATTTTCCCGAGCTGCGTCGAGCCGTGGCGACGAGGGGCCCCCACGGAGGCTAAACGCCCTTGTCTCACATCGCCCTCTTCTGACACTCTCCACAGGACCCCTTTCCCACACCACCCACTGCTGCCCCTGCGGCCCCGCCGCCGCCCAGGGCCCTCGAGGCGGCTGGGCACGATGCCTGGCCTGCCCTGGAGGAAGAATTCGGATGTCTGCGCGTATTTCTCGGGTCTGCGCTGGAGCACCCTCCCTGGCGCGCGGAGCGCGTCAGGGGCAGCGCCCGAAGGGCCGCCAATGAGGCCCAGCGCTGGTTCAAGGAATCCGCGTGGAGCTCCGAACGTCTGTGCATATGTTTTTTGTCCCCTATCGTTGCCCTGAAAGACCCCGCTCCCTTACGACGCCCGTTCCTGCATGGTGACCCTTCTCCTGGCGCATGGAGCGCACCAGGGGCGGCGCCAGATGCGCCGCCAGTGGGGCACATTCATAAAATCAACCCAAAATATCATAATTAAGACATCCATGCGGAGCTCCAACATACTGTGTTCATGCATTTTTTCTCATTCGATACACACGCTGAGATCCGACGCCGCGAACTGGATCTATCTTTCCGCGCCATTTTTCGACCCGAATCAATATGTGAAGGTCCCATGGCCCGAAGCCGGGCGAAAACGCCCGGCTCGAAAAAATCGAAACGCCCATCTCTCAGACCCCCTGTTGCCCCTGCCCCTCCTTCCCTGGGCCCTGCTCATCTTCCCGCGTCGGTTATTGACGGCCCAGGGGCTAGTAAGGACCCTCGGCCGAAAAACCTGCGTCAAGAATTTGTCGCGACGACAACAATGTGGGATCTCCTGTGTAGCGACGAGATCTATACATACCCACTGCTCCCTAGCGACGCCCATCCTGAGCCCAGAAGCGGCGTATACGCCACGCCGGCTCCTGGGCCCAGGAAGTGCCCGACCAGGGGGAAGTGGCCATGTATAGATCTCGCCGCCCGACCCTGCTGCCCCTGCCGCCCCGCCGCAGTCCGGCGCCCTCGAGGCGGCTGGGCGCGCTGCTCGGCTTGCCGGACGCCCAGCAGGGCCCCCGCGCGCCGCCGGGCGGCGGGGGGGTTGCAGCGCCCGCCTCGCCGCCCCGGGCGGTTGGCCGCCGCTGGGCCGCGCCGAGGCTGCGTGGCCTCCTGCAGGATCACAGACTGCGAGGCCCCCGGGTTGGCGATGGGGACGAGCAATCGGAGGACGAGGCGGAGTAGACGCAGCCTGAAGCGCGCCGATCCATCCAAGGAGAGGCCGGCGCACTGACCGTACGAAGGGCCTCGCCTCGCCACGATCGAACAGTGGACCGCGGGAACAGGGGCCCGATCGAATATGAAGGAACGGCCTGCCAAAGCTCGACGGCCAAAGGCTGGAGCACAGACTCGCCGCGACGATTCGCCGTTCACAGGAGGACGAGGCGGAGGAGAAGGAGGAGGAGGAGCACGGCGCAGCACCAGCAGATGGAAGGCCCGAAGCGGCCAGAGCGCACTCGGAGCGCACCCGGCTCCAGCAACGCCACGGGGAGCAAGACCCCCCCCGACGCCGACGCGAGATGTTGACGTGCCTGCGGCCAAGCGAGGCGCGCACGCGCGCGCCGCGTCGGGGGACGGGGCCGGGGAGCCGCCCTCTCCGCGCCGGTTGCTCCTGGGCGACGGCGCGCGCGGGCTCCCTCCCCGCCCCCGTCAGCCACGCGAGCTCAGCCCCACCCGGCCCGAAGCCGGAACGAGCGAGACAGACGCGGGCCCTCGAGAGCCCGGCCAGTCACCGGGGGGCAGCCAGGGACCTCGTGCTGCTGACCCAGATCTCCGACGAGATGCTTCTCCCGCAACAGTTTGTCTGTAAGGGTTCTCTCTCTGTCTCTGTCTGTCTGTCTGTCTCTCTCTCTCTCTCTTTCTCTCTCCCTCTCTTTCTCTCGCCGTGTATGTACGTAGCCCCCCAGAGATGCGAATAAGAGTGAGGGGGCGGTGGGGACGTCGGCAGTTTGCGAGACTCTGGATAAACCTGCCGCAGGCGCCAAAGTTTCACAAATGATACAACGAGCCCGCCGCAAGCACATGTTTTTCGTTAAACCAATGTGGGTAGGTCGCGGGCGGGTCGTGTGTCGCAAATGGTTCGCGGGTGGGTCGCGGGTGGGTCGCAGGTGGATCGTTGTTGGTCGCGGGTGCAGAGGGCAGAGAATCCACCCCATAATAATCACCCCGACAAGCGAAGCCTTTCAGTAAACGCACACAAGGAATGAATTGAACAGGGCAGGGCCGTTTAGTAAACGCCCAAGGCCGTTTAGTAAACGTCAATTGTCGGGTCCGGGTGGTTTTTCCTCCCTTGAGGGTGGGTCGCGGGGTGGGTCGCGGGGTGGGTCGCGGCTGGGTCGCGGGCAGGTCGCGGGTGGGTCGCGGATGGGTCAGGGGGTGGGTCGCGGGTGGGTCGCGGGGTGGGTCGCGGGTGGGTCGCGGGTGGGTCGCGGGTGGGTCGCAAGGGGGGTCGCGGCTGGGTCGCGGGTTGGGTCGCGGGTGGGTCGCGGGGTGGGTTGCGGGGTGGGTCGCGGGGTGGGTCGCGGGGTGGGTCGCGAGGTTGGTCGCGGGGTCGGTCGCGGCCCACCCCGCGACAAGCACAATAACAACAATAACATCAATAACAACAACAATAACAGCGACACCAACAACAACAATAACAACAACAATCAGTTTACCCTCATGCGCGATGTTTTCACACGAAGCATGCGACCATCATGGTAACCATCCACATCATGGGGGACTCTTGTTCTATAGCGGGGTCCATTATTCCCATTCCCAGATCTCCCGCCCAAGGAGGTCTTGCAAACACCTCCTCCGAGCAATTTCAACATATCCCGCCTCGAAAACACATGCCCGCGCCTTGCTGCGCCGATGCGAGACCGCCAGCGGAACCCCAGCGAAGGGTAAAGCACAAGGAAGTATCGAACAACAGGATTGCCTTGGTGGGGATGGGGGCTGTCGGCGGTGAGGCAAGGACCTGGCCGTGAA